GTAGAGACGATGAACCAATCATTGAAGAATCACCTGCGTTGTCACCTGAATTTCCAGAGTCTGAAATAGGTTTGTTTCCTTGCTCTCCTGAAAGTGCACCAAGCGGGGGGTTACTTGAAGCAATTCCGGCCCCAAGTCATGAATCCAAGATTCCACTTGAAGCACCCAATCCAAAGATTCCAATTGACCATTTGCTCACTCATCAGCCTGCGCATCCTGCGTGTGACGTATGTAAGCAAGCCAAGCTACGCTTCCATGCCCACAAATGATTCAAAAATCAACCTGATTGCAAGAAAGTAGCGCAGGTGATTGAGGCACCCCTATCCTTTCTTCAAAGAGTTGCTTGTGACCACTTAGAAGCTACCGAAGAGGGTTCCCATGGAGAACAGTATGCTCTTGTTTGCGTTGATGAGTTTTCTGGTGTTATTCATAGTTACCCTTCTTCTAGCAAATCTCAACAGTCAGTCGAAACTGCCTTGAAGCACTTCTGTAGAGAGTTCAAACCAATAGTGGCTTCTGATCGATATCCTAGCATCTTGTCAGCCGTCAGGTCGTTGGGTTTGTCTTCTGATCCTAGCCCACCGAACGTTCCTATTCACAACTCTCATGCTGAATCAGCTATCAAAGCCGTTCGCCAAGGGACTCGTTCCTTGTTGTTGCAAAGTGGTTTAGGTGTGAAGTTTTGGCCTCGAGCGATGTCTTGCTTTAGTTACCATTACAATTTCACCACACTTCCTGAACTTTCCCAAGGTTCTCTTAGAGCCCTGGTTCAGGTGCATGATGCTGTGTTGCCTGATGGTGTTGAGGGTCCTGTTCCGCCCCCTCCTGTGTATGACAGCAAGCTTCATATGGCTTTAGGATACCAACCTGACACTCGCATGTTGCCTTTTGGTGCCCTGGTTTGGTGTTTAAACAAAACCAAAGACCCCAAGGCACCCAAGTCTTTCGAACCTACTGGCATCCCTGCATTGTATGTTGGCCCTGAAGTTCTTCCTGCCATGCGTTGCAAAGATGTTCACCACTTGTTTGACCTGGCTGATTTGACCAGCTACAATAGTGTCCGTTTGATTGTCACCAAGGACTTTGCTATCCCTACTGGTCGTTGGGTTTTTCCTTTGACTAGTGTCCCCATGCTGAAATCCATCTTGCCCGAAAACCCCCAACAACCGGCTCCAGCCCTCGACGATGAACCAGACTCAATCGAGGAACCCCGTAACCGCTCCATCACTCGACGGCGTCTTGCTCAATATGGTCCCACCGATCTTTGTGATGGTTGCCTGCTGGGTACTTATTCTCATTCTCCTGAGTGCCGTTCCCGCTTTAACAAGTTGTTGGATAGTGCTGAGCCTTTGGTTGTGGTTTCCGGGGGGGGGGTCTATTGATGGACGTGGCCATGGTGACTTGGATTTGGATGAGTCCATGCGGATGTTCGATGTCAGGGTTGAAGATGGTTATGATTCGGATTATGATTCTCTTGATGGTTGGAAACCGCAATTTCCTCTTGAGCCACGTGGAACTGAAGGGTCTGAATATACCCCCTCTAGCCCAAGGGTCAGTGAACCTGATGCTAGTCTGTTTGATGAACAATTGGGGGAGTTTCTGCCGGTTCCGGGGGGTGTCATCAAGAAAGTAGGAAAGGTCAAGGGAACTTTCATCGAATTTTGCTGTGAAGAGAACTCATCAATTTCGAGGGTGGCTGATATCCTTGGTATTGCGTATCTTGGCATCACAAAAGAATCTCTCAACATCCAAGACGACGATGCTTTTCAACAACTTCTTTTCTGGTTGCAAGAAGAAATACAGGATGGAAACGGTCCTATTCATTTGTGGAGTTCCCTCCCATGCACGGTATGGTCCCCATGGCAAAGAATGGCCATTGCTAAGTATGGTAGCTCCTACAAACGAAAACTTCAGAAAAGAAGAGCTGAGTCTTTGGAGATGGTTAAGAGGTTTCGTGATGTTGCCGAAATGGTAAAACTTTCTAGGGGAGGTTCCGTTACTTTTGAGTGGTCTCGAGATTCAGAGGGATGGGATCAACCACTTGTCAAAGACACTATGGTGGCGCTCGACCTGCAACCTGTCCGCATAGACGGCTGTGCATTTGGGTTGGCCATCAATGGCAAACATCCCCAGAGGCCTTGGTTGGTGCAAACCGACAACAAACGTTTGGTCAAAGAGTTTCAACACAAGAAGTGTAAACATGAGAAGGGTTTTCATGATTCACTTGAAGGATCCCTAACGACCAAGTCTGGAATCTACAATGTGACCATGGCTACCAGTATTTTGACCACGTTGTTCCCGGGCGTTGTTGCAGACCTTGTTCCTGCAATGCCAGTTCTTCCTTTTAAATTGGATCCCCATAGGGCACGACTGCATGACTTTCACACTCAAGAACTTTGTGTTTTGGGAACTATTCACAAGTTGTTGACCCGTGAAGAAATGAGATCCGATCCCAAAGCTCTGCAAGCAATTTGGGAGGAAGGTCAGGGAGTTCGCGCCAAAGATGTTTGGGACGATAACTCTGTCATGGAAAAGAGTGAAAGGATTTCTCAGGCACAGAAGGACAACAAGGTCATCCACATTGCCGACGTAATGCCGATCGCAAGCATCAAGTTCTGGGAAACCCCCTCAAAGAGAAAGTACAAAGGGAGGTTGGTCTTTAGGGGAGACCAGGTAAAAGATTCTTGGGGTGGACCAGCGCAGTTTGGAGCGATGTTCAGTACTCCAACTAACACTCAGGCTATAAACTTGGCAGTGTTTTATGGACTATTGTTGGGTAACGAGTTGAAAGCTGCGGATTGTACTCGTGCCTTTCTGCAAGCTATGCTATTGATGAAAGAGGAAACCTTCGTGGTATTGCCTCAAGAACTATGGCTTCCAGGATGGGCTGGAAAGTACAAACAGCCAACGGTGCGCCTGAGAAAGGCGCTTTACGGACATCCACTTGCATCAGCGTGCTGGGACCTTCACCTCCGCCAGGTTCTCCAAGGTGATTTGGGACTGTTGCCAATGGAGGGGCATCCCAGTGTGTATTATTGCCCTAAAACGTTTCTTTTAGTGGTGATATACGTCGATGATGTCTTGGTGTCAGGTCCAAAGGCGCATCAATCGGCTTTCTGGAAAGAATTGCAACGTTTAGTGGAAACCGACGAGGTAGAGGACCTCAATCAGTTTATTGGGAGAAACCACGAACTTTCGGAAGGGCAGTGTGTTTTCAACATGGTTGATTATTGCCAACAAGCCATTGACTTGTACCTTGAAGCCGCCGGAAATGTTTCCTTAAGACGTGTCTCCACCCCATATGTCAATGAGGGTGTGCTCACAATGGAAGACTATCAGGTTCAAGGTCAGATTTCCCACAAAGCGTCTAGCGTTTTGATGAAACTCTTATGGGTTTGTCGACTGGCACGGCCAGATTTGGCATATCCCATAGGCATGTTGGCAACTCAGGTGACCCGTTGGAGTCGCAATGCTGACAAACAACTTTTCCGATTGGTTAGCTACCTTCACACCACACGTGATCTTTGTTTGGTTTCCCGTGTTGTTGATGCACCTTCCTCATGCTCGCTCTGTTTGTACGTAGATGCTGACCTGGGGGGATGTCCTTTTACAGCCAAATCTACTTCTGGGCTTTTCTTGGTCATCACTGGGCCAAACGGGACTTTTGCCCCAATAGCATGGTCCTCTAGGAGACAACAACATGTGGCTAGGAGCACGGCCGACTCGGAGTTGAATGCTCTTTCAGAGGGTGTGCATGAGGAACTTGCTCCAGCCCTCATGTTACTCCAAACTCTTTTGGGCAAAGAAACCCCCAAAGCCATTGTCAAGGAAGACAATTCTGCTGTAGTTCAATCTGTCCGCAAAGGATATTCCATTAAGCTTCGCCATCTAGCACGAACACCCAAGTTGTCACTTGCATCCCTGAACGAAGCCTGCACCACCTGGTGCCAACTTGAGCAGACACCCACCCGAGATCAATTAGGAGATATATTCACTAAGGCATTAACCTCAGGCAAATTTGATCCTCAGTCCATTGGTCTCACTCACTGGCCCTCGTCCACACCTTAGAGTTTGGTCAGAACCCTAGTTGCCAGCCTGCGGTTGCCTTAGTTGGAGGTGCCTTGGCCTGAAGACCAAACAGGTTTGGGGTGAGATTCCTGCGCTTGCGCGGACTCATCCGAGGAATCTTGTGCTTGGCGCTGGCTTTGGCTCTTCACTGCATGATTGCCTTTTTCTCGCTGCTGCCTCCAACGATGGCTGCTGATGAGTGGGCATTTGTTTGAACAATTAGGATCTTTTGCATTTTGTTTTGCTGTGCCTTACGGTTGAAATAGGTCCACGCCTAAGTTGCGAGCGCAGCCTTGGCCGGGGAGGCTGCATTCGCAGCTGACTTGGACTTGTTTGCTTCTGACCTTCATTTCAACCGCGGGGGGACGTTTGATGTCACACAGCAATGCAATCATAAACAGCGTACAGATCACAAGCTGTTTGAGATCAGAACTTGTCAGGAAGTGTTCCCTCCAATGAGTGGAACTGCCAAAGTCTCAATGACTTTTGGCTCAAGGCTTGAAGTGAAAAGGCATTAGCCTTGGCTGAAACTCATAAAACTGCTGTACATGTATTTACTGCACGTTATATACTGTATTCACAGATCCAGATGTGGCATTTCGACATATTTCAACATGTTCCACTAACCTCGCTTGATGCACCCAGAGGTGTTTTAGCCTTCTTTGTGCACATGCTTTCAGAAAAGGATCTGTATAGGGCTTTTGAGCGGAGTAGGTTTTACCATTGTTTTTTATTGGCATCAGCCAGGTGTTGTAGATGAGAGCCTGCAAAGGCACTTACCCGACTTACCCGTCCAACCTCCTCAGACAGCTTAAGAAGCATCATGCATGCGTTCGCTAAATATGCGTTTTTTAAAGCAAAGTGAGGAACAAACCTGACCAAGACCAGGTAACAAAAACAGCATCCTTTCCCGGAATCGCTTGCGAATCGCCATGGCACTTCCTGAGCGGCCCGAGAAAGAAGCCACAGAGGAAGAGACTTTGGTGCTGCCGGACCTGCACAGCATCCTAGAGGGCACTGTTGCTGGGAAGAGATGGGCCCGTGGCCGTCCGTGGCGGTCCGTGGCCCATGGAAGCCTTCGGAAGCGGTCCAATTGATCTGCGGTGCGAGGTCTTGGGGCTGAGGTTCTTCCAAGCCAAAAGCCGAAAAAGAGAATGACCAATGGACCATTGGCACTTAAAGATGTGCTTTGATGATCGCAACACCTTGATTTCCACCAGCTTGACACTTTTGGCATTACAGTCCCAGAAACAACCTCAAACATCTTCTTCATCTTTCTCGTGTGTTGGAATGGGAGAATGGCCCAATGGATTTCTATTTTGTGGTTTTCTCAGGGGTCCAGCTGAGGGGTTTCCCATTTCCAAGGCATCAGATTATATATATATTGTTTAATACGCAGTATATATGGCCCTATCAAGAAACAAAAACCACATAATAACATGCGTATTATATACATATGTTGCAGAGAGAGAGAGGCCGTTGCCAAACATAACATGTATTAATACAATTAACCAGGTCACAGCAACTGCAATTTTCTTGTTTGCTTCCATGTTTTTTGTGCCTTGCCTAGGTTGCATCGATCCAGCCCTTCGGTGCCTTCGTGCGAATTGGGAAAGGCGAGTAGTGGCTACCTTCTGTCACGAGCCTCCTGCTTCCTGTTCCATTTGTGGCTAGACATGGTATGGTTCCCTTTTTCACTCCCTCAGGTATGTCGTTCGAAGAGACTGCCTTTGACTCATGCGGTGTGCTGGAAGATGAACTTTATATTCTTGGCACGCTTTGAGGATAAATGATGCAGGGGGGTCATTATAGAATTGAACGGGAATACTGCGGGACTGACTGATTAAGGCCCACTTACAAATTTTGAGCGTGAACTTTCTGAACCTCATCTCAATTGTATGGATGTCCTTCCTAGGTCTAGGTATCCCATTATTTGGTGATTGGCTTGTGCTGATGGCAACACACACACTTTTGCTATCAATGGCTATGATTTGCTGACGGAAACTCCAGCTCGGCCCTGAAGGTGACGAGTACAAGGAGAGCTGCGGCTGGAGATCCTGTTAAACCTGGCGGCACTTTTTCCAATCTATTAAAATTAAATTCTAATTAAATTCAATTCTTGTTCCTAATAGCTTCTTGTTCCTCGTAATTAGTAAGGCCACGAGCCCCTAGTAGCGTCCTTGTTCCTAGTAGCGATGCCCTTTGCTCCTAGTAGCGTCCTTTTGCTTAGTAGCGTCCTCACAAGCGTCCTTCAAGCACTCGAGGGAAAACAACATAAGATGAAGGAGATGAATTGAATGTGAAAAGGATGAGATACTTAGACAATCTTAGACAGACAGGCATATAAAGATACTCGTAGATAGCTGCCTGTGACCTGGCATGAACAAACCCACGTGGACTTAGCACTGAGCACCGCCTGCTATATTGTGTATATTTGCACGGTGTCCGATGATTTGTCGATCTATTTCTAAGGTGGACATGTTAAACTGCGACGGCATCATGTTGAACACGTGCAAGCATGCATGTAATGTATATGATATTATGTTCTTATGTGCATGAGAGTGAACAATGCAGTCAAACTGTTCACATAACATTGAGTGAGCTTGTTTGGGATGTCACATCTAAAATACATACGCCGAGAATGTCTTCCAAAATTAAGTGGCACCAAGAAGTTCTCAGGCTGCCCATTGGAAATGAAATAGCTATGGCTATGTGTCCAAATGTGTTTTGCCGTTTTGCGTGCCCCGAGCCTCCTTCAAAGGTTTGCACAGTGTTTGAAGTTATGCATGCTTTTGCGTTGCTACAATTGGAATGGCAAAATGGCGCGCTGTGACAGATTTGCAGGACGGCTTGGTCCACATTAGATCCATAGCTGCAGGGAGGGTGGAAAAAGTCTCCGACTACCTGGACGTTGGAGACAAGGTTTGGGCGAAGGCAAGCTTTGAAGCTCCGCCACTGGCAACCTGCTTTGGGCCCGGGACGTTGCGACGCGCTTGCCAAACGGGTCGGGTCAGCTGCAGTTGAATGATTCAGTCAGTGAACTTACTAAACATGCGATCAAGAAATCCAGGTGGAGGTTATCAGCACCTTGATTAGAGGCAAGTGTGTACATAAAGCATCATAGAGCGTAAACAAGGCTGGCTGGTGTTTGTGCTATTGAGCAATGACATTCTTGAAGGTGTGCAATGTCAAGCCAGAGGATGGCAAGTATGGCTTGGACTTGCGCCTTTGGGCAGCAACCTTCCTTCAGTCATGTAGCAAGGGGGCGTTGTTTGTGCGAACTCTCCAAGTGCTGTAGCATGCACCCTAGCCTAGCAGGCATGAGACCAGGCAAACACTAGCACTTGAGTTGCTACAAATGACAAGACATGCCGAAAAACATTGAGAAAGCATTTGGGGTTTGGTCTTTGTCGTCCGAGTACAGGTTGAAGGCCATCGCTTCTAGGTCGGGGGGCAGAGCCGCCTTTACAATAGTCCTGTCCTTTGTGGCGCCACAAAGAATTTTACTTCTAATTATTGTTTCTTATAGCGACATTGTTCCTAGTAGTACGGCCAGGAGCCCCTAGTAGCGTCTTTGTGGCGGTGAACTGATGTCGCTCAGGTTATGTGAACCAAGACACCGGAGAAGATCTCGACCCAAAGAACCGAGAAGGTCGATTCCCCAAGGGTGGAGGAAAGCAGAAAAAGACAAAAACTGAGGAACCTCAGATGCACTCTCGGACTTGAGGACTTGGGATTGAGGACAGTTGCTATGTGTTGCTATGAGTTGCTATGTGTTTTGCTACTTGGGATGAGACTCCCCGGGACCTGTTTTCGTCTTCGATGGTTTTAGCCATGTTGTATGAGTCTTGGCGTCTTGATGTCGTTTTGTTTGAAAAGTTCGACCAACATGCGAAAGAACAGCAACAGCAACATTTCACAGAGTGGTGTGGTGTTTCTTATTGGAAGGGCTGGGGTTGGGCATGCAAAAGGCAAGTCTTGATTTACATTGGCTGTTCGGCACATGCATTTGGATCGACATCACTCTGTTTGCGTGTGCTTAGGCTTAAGTTCAAACGTTGGGCTCCGAATTGCACCACGCCAGTCCAATAAGGGCGATGAGAAATGTGAACTTAAGACCTAAACAAATATAGCTTTTTGTTCCTAGTAGCGATGGCCCCCACCTAGTAGCTTCTTGTTCCTAGTAGTAAGGCCAGGAGCTGCTAGTATCTTGCTACTATATAGTAGAAATGCCCTTGTTGCTTGTATAGTGAAAGCCAATGCAGCAAGAAGCACATTCACAGTCCTACCTTTACATGCCAAGGCAGGTGCGGCCTTTGGCTCTGACTGATCCAAATGGATCCGGCTCTAATGGGTTGGAGCATGTCGGAGTACCTCACGTCCGAAGAGCCCCAGCCCGAACCACTAAGGACTTGGTGAAGGATGCCAAAGCCATGATGGAGGAGGTGAAACGCATGAAGAAGGAATCAAAGCTGAAGAAAAAGTTCCTGAAATTTGAGGAAAAAAGGAAGAGCCTCACTAGCACATATGGAATGCCATGGCGACATTTACGTGTTGCGTTCATTCATCAACCGGTTGATGCACAAGTCCTTTCTACAGGAAGAAGTTGCAAAAGAAACTCAAGAAGCAAGCTGATGCGAAGGGCAATAAAGCTGAAGGTGGTAGCTCTTCCTCATCTAGTTCCTCATCATGTTCTTTGTCAGAGGCAACGCAAGCCAGATTGCGCAAGGACGCCAATGGGGCCTGCATTTGCATTGGACCATGCTAGAAGACTTCTGTGCACTGACTTTGGATATATTTCCTTCATGTTTGCATGCCAAATAACTGTACATCAATGTCACGAGGATGTGGTGAATGCAGCTTCGTTGCAGGAGTTTGGTTTTCCAGATCCCGTGGGGGCAAAGCCCAAGGCAGCGCAAACAAAGAGCAACGGCCAGGCCATTACCTTGAAAGAAAGGACCGCTTCAAACTTGCTGCATTCACGTATGCCCTATAGGATGAGAGGTATGTGTGAGGCTAGAGTAAGATGTGGTGGTACTGTTGACTCAGGATTAACCAACCTCCCCATATTAATAAAGCCCAGCTCGAGCCCTCATGAAGGGTTCAGCTTTCAGAGGGTGTCCGTAGACGCTGACCTGGGGGG